CCATCAACAGCGAATTCTCCCACAATCTTTTCATCAGCTTTTCAACCGATCAAAATGAAAAATTTTCACGAACAATATCTGTGACATAAAATTTCAGAAACTCAAAACAATTTTCTTCTCTTTATTAAATGAAGAATTTCATTAATTCATTTCTCAATTCGATGAACGACTGAAAGAGCAAACCAGGAAATTTTCATGAAGAAAAAATACGGCAAATAATACTGTCGGCTGTATGGGAAGAGACGAAAATTCAACAGAGAAGAACAACGTCAATGCCAAATTTATTTCAAAATTTCCATTAGTGTGGAAGGAGCATGACATGTGTAAGAATTATTCGCTACAGATGTTCACTGTACAGAGTCGAACTCGAATACATTAATCTTCATTATGTTTCATTATAGCATATATGATTCATGCTAATCGTAAGAAATTACTTAAAATGAATTTTGTCGGTCGCCAAGAGATTCCTAAAAAAAATCCAGTAAACGTGAGATCGAGTTATCTAATTTCGTAACCAAAAGAAAATGATAAGCAAAAAATGCCTTATTGATCAAACGATGAAGGCATTTGACGGTACAACAGAATAAGCTATGAGATAGAGAGTGGTGCCTTTCACAGCAAATGCCTTTGCAAGTGTTTCCTCGAAAAGCGTTCGTGGTTTTGCTAACGATTTGTGTCGGCTAGTTTTAGTTAGATGAAACATCTTGAAAGAAATGAAAACATTACAGATGGACTCTTATTGGTTAGTCCGATTTAACCAGTTTGCGTAAATGAACGAAAAGAGTCGCGCGTTTCAACGAAACATTCAAGTGAAAACATTCCAATACACATAAAGATATGAATTCAGAAAGTCATTTTTGAAATGATTTCCACTTAAAATTGATTCGTGAAAATAAAATGAAACCAGTAAATACAACGTACACTAACAACATGCATAGTTTAATAAATAAAATAAATCGGATTATCTCAAAACAGAACGCCATCATAACACTGTGAGCCCTCAAAATGATGATCACTCATATAATTTCACTGACAATGAGTATTCCACTGCACCGACATCTATCGTTCAATATACCTCAAACGATCAATTTATCGTGGACACACTGATGAGATGCATGCATTACGAATGGTCACCTGTGTACTGTTGTATTCACCTGAACATATTCAATAATCAAACGTAGCGTGTCTGAGAAAATGAGACGGAGATGTGACGCTGAAAAGAACGAAGATATTTGTGAATCGGTTGGAGAACCGTACGGTAAGGATTGCAATGCAGAAGTATATAATGGTGAAGAGAGGAGGGATACTCATAGTGCGGGATATAGATGGAAGAAATTCAAAGCAGGGACGAATAGAGAGAGATATGGGATGAATGATTACTGACGATATATTGGATAAATAAGGAACAGGTAGGTCATTGGTCAAGCACGTCAATCCTTTTGCCA